CAAATGGACGACTTATCGAGCGATGGCTCAAGAAACCATTGACGAGGCTATAAAAGGTATATCGGCAGAATTAAATGTAAGATGTTATAAAAGACTCATAAGTGTTTGTTTAAAGCTTGCAACCTAGAACCAGAAAGACCCTGCCAGACTGACGGCTTTCTTCTGGAAGGCGCTCAGGGCTGGAGCCCTACAATGTATATTAGATTGGTGCAAGATTTCGGTCTGGAATGCGAGGTCGCGCAACATTTGTCCAAGAGCTATGGAGATCGTGCATTTGCCGTAGCTAAAATGGCCTCGCTTACAGGGAAACGATGGCCTATCATTGGAAAGAAAATTCATCCGGAATTTCCATACATCGATGCCGAAGTAATTGTCTCTCTGAATTGTTTAATGGGCACCATACTAATCATATAGAAGATAGAATCCCAGTAAAATAATTTATTTTTTACATGTAATATAGTTTATAATGTGGTGAACAAAGGATGTCTCTTAGACATAAGGTTTAATAATAGATACTTTTTAGTTATGATGTATCATAAGCACAAGTTTACATCTTTGGTACACCATAGTTCAATTATCCATTATTAAGCTTTGTATATTATTTTGTCTACATCTTTTGTTCACTATATTACAAACTACATTGTATGTAAAAACTAAATCATTTCACCGGAATCCCATTTTTCATATAATTAATACAGGATTTTTTGATCGACAAGTATGTCTTCCCGTAAAATATCTTAAATGTATATTTCAGATACGCTACGGCGTACGAGAATACGCTAGAACCGCGATCGACATGATTGCGCGTCGATTACGACTCGCTTTCCTCAATGTCCAAGCGGCTCAAGAGGCACTACCAGGTATCATAGATATCATGGCCGAGGAATTACATTGGACGGCAGAGGAGAAGAAGAAGCAGCATCGTGAGGCCAGCGAGTTCCTCGCCCAAGAGATGGGTCAGATGGTGAACCGTGCTTCCCGCGACAAAATTCCTATTAATCTCACCAAGGATGAGATCCAACTCTACATCAAACGCTTCCGAATTATAGACAAGGACAAGAAAGGATATGTGTCTATCAATGACATTAGACGAGGACTAAAGGTTTGCATATATATTGTATTTCGGCACCTCTCCAGTATCTGATATTTTGCATCTACTTCCGCTTTCTTTAATTATCGATATCCATTAACGTCGCCAATACGCAGGTATTAGGTATACATATGAACCAAGACGAGATGCACAGCTTATTGAGTGAAATTGATGTTGCTTACAATGGCCAAATGGAATTGCAAGACTACTTGCAGGTAAATCGTCAAACATATACTTAACATACATTCTTTCTCTTCACAGCTCTTTGGAGATAAGGAAGTACCGGGTGATGAACTTCACGAAATTCTGCGTGAAATCGACACCAATATGAACGGTCAAGTTGAATTGGATGAATATCTTCAGGTCTGTGACATTGGGCATAGTGCACACAGTCACAGTCGGATTTTTTTTTTCGCATACTTGTTTTTGCTTTTCGTAGTGCATTACACAGTGTAATAATTTTCAGAATGATCTCATTTCTTTTTTAATATGATTATGTGTAGTAATTCTTGATAATAATTTCTGAATTGACAAAAATTAACAATTAGCAATTAGCAAAATTATTAGTTTGTTGCAATGCCTTGTGTTCTTTTTTTATATTTATTGCATGCGTTATGATGTAATCAAAGTTATTTTATACTATCTTTTTGAATGTTCTTTTAACATTTGCGTAAATTATTTTTGTATGCTACATATACATATATAAACTTGTATTACTTTTTATATATAGATGATGTCGGCTATAAAATCTGGCCATGTGGCATATTCACGTTTTGCGCGGATGGCTGAAATGGAAGAAGCGCAGCACGAAAAGGAAATACTCAAGAAACAAATAAGCGTTGAGAGATCAGGGGGAGGATTATAAAAAAGTTCACCTTTAGGAATTGGAATTTTGGAATATTTTAATCTCATATTTTATTTGACAGATTTCAGATGTCGCGTATTTATATCTAAGAATCAGTTTATACGATCGAAACGAAAAGAATCAAACAATCTCTTACGAAACGAAACTCTATTACGAATAATATCTTTAAAAAAGTATATTATAATCTACAAATGTCTCGTATTGAATAATTCACCACATACGAGTTTATGTACGCACGTCCGTCGCGTAAATTCTTATCAGTAAGTAATTAAAGTCAATTACAAGGAAAAATTTTAATCTCTGCATAGTTTCTCTTTTCACAATTTTGACATGCATTATGTATAATAATTTTGTACATAATATCTATATTATGTACAAAATGCAATACATTCGCATTCTTTCTATTTGTATATACAGTCAATACTACATTACTATAATACGACATTACTATAATAATTGTATATTCTTGCCGCATTAAAAAAAATTTCGTTGAGTTAATTGAAATTCTGGTATATTAGAGAAATACGAATAGGACACAATTAAATCGAACATTTTACTCGATGTAACCAGAATTCTGATTTATATATATATATATATATATATATATATGATTATATATATATGTATATATAATCTATTTTATTTGTACTTGTTGGTACAATCAGAATATTTTTCTCAGTGTAGGAATCTAATTTATGTAATGTTGGGACTTTAGCATCCTAAATTGCCTCGACATTCATAGTATTTATTAGCATTACAATTGTACATTATGTATTATTTAATTACTGGCTTTTTTGCTAGTACTAGACGTTTATTTTCTGCAAAATTGTGAATATAGCATTGCTGTAAGATACGCTTGTAATATGTTATTTAAAAAAAATTGTGTCATCTGGTTTCTGAAATTAAACTGGTAGTAGTGCGAACTACATTCACTATCTTTATATTATTACTAACATATGCTAAAATTGTACAAACTATAGATATATTGTGAGAAATCGTCTAATTTATTATCACTGTAATATGACACAGTAACAGGCACTTGTAATTTATCTCATCTTCATCATCATTATCATTATCATCAATAAAATCAATAGCAAATGAATAATTTGTAGTACTGTTCTTCCAATTTTTTTGTCAAGTATTGGTAACGTGCTACAAATTATATCGCATCTTGTTAACACTAATCGGTCAGTGTATCTCAGACAACGTATGACATATCGAGAAATGAATTTCCTAATAACTCTATCGTCATGTGATTCGAGGGAAGGAATTTTATAAGAATTTAATATTTCAGTTATTCTTTTTTAGAATAAGTCTAGATTTTGGAATTTCGTGTTATATCTGTATGAAGTTGAATTCTTTATGCAAGGAAGGGAATAAAGCAGCTGTTCGCCTAACAACACTGCGAGGCTTTCCTAGAAATAAAAAACGCTTTACGCTGTACTCGGAACATATGGATTTTGGATATCCTGGGACCCATTTTTCTAATTTTCAAATAATAATTATTTAGAATAATTTCATGTTTTTTACAATCTTCTTTTTTAATTTTGTTCTATTCATGTAGGCTAATTAATTGTTGTGCTGTATCTCAATCAGAAATGTGAAATTTTCTTTATTCACAATTTAAGTCTTCAAACTTCAGTGCAGATTTTATTCCGGGCTGTGTAAAAAAGTATAAAAAGATTCTTATATACTTGTGAAATCCTCAACAATGAGTTTTTATTATCATAAAAATTGGATTGTATTTTATTCATTGTTTGTAGATTTAAAAATTTATCTAAAATAAAAAAGTTGACTGTCTTTAAAGTCCAACATTACAGAAGAATGTCTATGTCAAATTCAAATGTAATTTTTTTATACATAGTTGAAAATTTTTTAATTTAAAATTGATAACATAAAAAATGTACTCCAAAGACCATATGTTCCTATTACGGGTTATTAATTCGAGGATCATCAATTATCAAGGAACACCCCCGAAAAATCGCGAATCACATTAGCGACACGTGCCCTATCACACGAGTTGTTCATCCGCGGTCGGTTACGCTAGGTGAAAGGTGGGAGGAAGCGGAAGACTAGAGAAAGTAGGAGGTACGCGTGGTTTAGCCCCCTTTAATAGGGTGGGCGTCCGCCGCGAGCGTTCCCGCGTACGCCCCTGTCGAACGACGCCCCGGCGAGCTGCCGCCCGAATTGATTGGCCGGTGGTGTTGGTCGACCGGTCGCGCGTGCTACGGCCGACCAATCTGCGAGCCCGTGCCATCGTGTCGAGCGAAACGGCGACGTTGCCGTCTGTGCACCGCCCATTGGCACTGCATCCGTGTTTTCTCGAACTAGCCACTCGTTTAGGACGGTATATTTGTTGGTGTTCGTTGTGGAGTGTTTGTTCGAGCGCGAATGGACAATTAAAGTGGACAACGCGGGACACGAGCAGTGGTCGTATATCACGCGTGCACGTGCCAGTGGATTTGATGAGTGGCGTTTGGGAAACTCGTCGGCTAGAATTTGTTCGACGGTAGCGTTGGAGCTTTCGTGGTTCGACGGTGGCCGTGGCGGCAGGGTACTTGTTGGGGACGCTTTATAATCTTCGCTCGCTCACGTGGATATCCAGCGGAATCGAGTTTCGGTCGTTGACTAATCAAACGACACGAAACGATCCGCGGACCGATAGCGTTGCTACACGGCATAGTGCTCGGACGCGGACGGCGCGCGTCGCGTGGCACGTGCGGATGTCTGGGTGTGCGCGCGCGCGCGCGCTCGACTCCCACTGGGGTATTCGGTATGCGGGGGCGAGGACGTGCGGGGTACACGTCGGTGCTGAATACCTGTAAATGATGCCGTTCCGATTGCTCGCAACGTTCTCGCGTACGACAAGACGCGGGTGGTACGTTATTTGTTCAGTTATTGGTTGCCGAGTAACGGGATAGGGTGAACGAACGCGTCGCATCTCATTCAAAGGGGTGGCGACGCATGCTTTCGTACAGTCGTGCAAATCGGAGAAACGTGTCGGACCAAAAGTTGGGACATTGGCGCGTTAGTGTTGAAGCAGTGATGTTCATATGACGTTTGGCACCTGGTGTTTTTCATGATCTGGCAGTGTGAGTAGGCAGCCCTCCGCGAGGGCAACACGTGTTTGTTTCCATGTTAGGTGGAGTCCCGGTGTGGCGAAGTGGGTGGAGGCTGGGCATCGCGAGTCGTGCCTTCCCCGTTATCGCGGGTCGCTCGCGCCGCCGCGAGAGCGCGAACGAGCGGCGGATGACCGAGTGGGCGGTAATGACGACACGAGGCTCACCTTGCCATCATGTCGAGCCGCGTGCGCGTGCCACATTTATGAATCAGGTCGGGGCGGTGGGGAAACAGGGGCGTAAGGAGGCGGTCCTCGATCGGGTTCTCGGGCGTCCTCCTTGGGTGCCCGTTGCCGGCGACCGGCCTTCTTTGTTCCCTCGTCGGGGAAAGAGAAAGAGAGAGGGAGAGAGACAAACCGAGAGAGAAAGAGAGAGAGAGGAGAGTTAGCGTCTTTTGCACATGCTGCTGTCAGTTTGATTTCAACGTGCTCCAATACTCGTAAATCCCCGCGTAAAATCCCCAGTGCTGAAACCGAGGCTCCGACTTAACTCTTTTGATTTGTAAACTTCCTTCCCTCTTCTACAGCTTTCTTGTTTAAACCTCCGTATTAAATTCTAGTGCTCCGATCAAATTATTAGAGAAGATTTAGCTTCTTGATTTGAGATTTTTTATTCAGATTAACAGAAAAAAGATATATCACAAATGTGTGAGTGTATTTAGCACTGAACAATGTTTCTCCTTTTTGTCTCCTTTCATTTTTCTCTCTTTCTGCGTTTCTTTAAATAAGAATCCTTTGTAACAAACCTTTTCTAGATTTATCGCATGCTCCAACAACCTCTTAACGTACAACCATGCGTTGGAGTGAGTAGGAGCATGATGGAGCATGCAATGCGAACAAACCTGACTTTTGCGAATCCGAGACATTCTTTCTATATATCTCTTTCATTCAATTATCTTAATTATAATTGCTATAACTCCCTAATATAAGTTTTTTTAAACAATCATATAATAATAGATACAATGCTCTAAAAATAATATTTCTTTGTAGGAGTACCATTTCTGTGGATGATTCGTTTCTTGTTCAAGAAGACTGTCAATGTTGTTGTTATATTATGAATTCCTAGCATACTCAACATGAAGCATTAGATTTGTTGTCATAAAGTGCAAAACAAAATCATTCATCATGAAACGAAACCTAGACAGGAATATTTCACAGGTAAAATTATATTATTAGTTTTTTATTTTATTATATTATTAATACTTCATTTTTATAATATTATCATAATATCTATACACAACTAACTTATAATATAAATGCTATTATAATATAATAATATCCACAACATAAAATAAATGTTGTAATTATTTGTAGGAAGAAATCGAAGAGCAGGATCCTTTGGAATCTGAACAGCAACAAGATGAAGCAGATCAACAACAGTTGGAGCAACAGCAACAATCTGTTCAGCCACAGATTCGTTTTCTAAGCGCCAATGTGTTGCAGCAATTGCAGCAACAGCAAGATGCTCAGCAACAACAGCAGCAGCAGCAACAACAGCAGCAGCAGCAGCAACAACAACAGCAACAGCCACAAGTTATTACCCTGCAAAACTTTGTGCCTTTACAAACTCAACAACCGCAACACGAACAGCAAAGAACACAAGCAATTTCTGTCCAATCGCTACCTCATCAATTTTTGCAAGTAAATGAGAAGATTACAATTATTTATATTAGAAAATGCCATATTTCGAAAAAAATTATAGATTTAATACATTATATGTATTTGACTTAAATACATACAATCTCCAATGAAGGAAATAAAGACGAACTAAACTAATGTAGTTAAATCAATAATTTTTATTTTCAGTACATGTTTATAAATTCGTTGTTCTTTAAGGGGATCCTAAAGATGATTAGTTATATTGAATAATAGCACTTACACACAGATGATTACGTGTCATTGACACATCAGTATAATATCTCACTCATGCATGCCAGACATATACATAAATTTTCATATCGTACGTTTTAATTAGACGCCTAAATCTAATTTTAAGAATTTTACGCTATTTTTTCATGTAAACTACTTGCCTATAGACTACTATTTCGTAAGTACAGATCGCATAGCTTTTGTATGGTGTAAATGTCATGATGTGTAACGACGTGACACAGACACGTATTAATACGTATACTTAATCCTGGAAAAAGAATTTTCGAATCTGTGAGCGACAAAAAAAGTATTTGCGATACAAAAATTATATGGTTTAATCAATAATACAGATGACTTTAGGATTCCCTTAAAGCTTACTTTATATGATCTATAATTTGTGATCAAATTCGGAACAGGATTCTATTTACAATTTTGCGTATCATGTAACATGGAAAATATTTGAAGAAGTAAAATATATATAGACGTATAGAAAATATATATCACATATAAGTATACTTTCTATATGTATGTATTTTACTTTTTTAAATATTTTCTATGTTACAGCAAAATTGTAAATAGAATTCTGTTCTGAATTTAATTGTGAATTATATGTAGATCGTCTAAAGTGGGTTCTACTTAATTTTAATTTATAAACACGCTTTTATAGGGTGCTCAGATTATTAGCAGTGCTCAGGCACAAGCGCTTCAGCAGCAGCAACAGCAACAACAAAGCCAGCAGCAAGCTCAGCAGCAGCAAACGCAGCAGCAAGCCCAGCAGCAGCAAACGCAACAACAGCAGCTCAGCTATAGTGTAATTCCACAAATGCAGACTGTTAATATAGATGGTCAGGAAGCTCTGTTTATTCCATCCTCAGCAATGTCGGGTCCAGGTGCCCATCAGACGCAGCCAACAATGCAATTTGCTACTACGAATGGTCAACAGATGCAACTCACTGGTCAGCAGGTCCAACTAGCAAATGGGCAAACTATTATCACACCACAACCAGTTAGTCTTATAAGATCACCGAATGTCTTTCCTACTTCGATTATACAAAATATTACGGGACAAACAGTTCAATTGCCAACAGGTATGTTCTTCATTGCAATCGCTTATAAAATTGCATGTTTTTTTTATAAAATATCCTGTAATGTGCGTAATATAATTTATGCGTTCCTTTTTATGATAAACATTTCCCAGTTATAAAATTCGTTTGCGTTGCTTGTACTTTTTTGCATTCAAAATCTTTGCTTCTTGTCTTTTCACCATTAAAATATTTCTCTCGTTTTAAATGCAACAATTTTAAGTGGGAATTTCAAGCAACGCAATAATGAACAGGCTTATTAATAAGTATGTCTAAGCAATTTTAACATATTTAAGATGGAATAACATGTATTATTTTAGGGCAAAGTGTACAGGTAAGACCGCTGCAATTTCCTATGCAACATGTTCAGCAAGCAGTACCTGTACAATTACCGGTCACTGCCAATAACGGACAAACCGTTTATCAGACAGTACATCTTCCTGTCCAATCCTTATCTAGCGTTTTTAATATGCCTACAACGCAAATGATACCACAAATTATGCAAGTAAGTAATTCAAAGACATGTGACAATGTTTCACGCTTCATTATAATGAACACCATATATATAATTATAGATATCAATTAATATTTAATTGTATGTGATAAATATTGTAAATTATATGAATGAAATGTATATTCTGATTATTTTAAATTTTAGCAAATACCTCAAGTGGCGCAGATTATTACACCGAACGGTCAAATTCAGCAAGTGCAAATTGCTAGTTTACCGCAATTGCAAAACCTTCAGGTAAATATAAATCAGATTCAATAATGAATGAAAATCTGAACTGTATTATTATTCACTTTGTACTATTCTTCATTCATAATCAAGAGACATCGTAATGTATCGTACGTATATAAAACTATATACATATATATGAGTCAGTTTTTAATACATACATAGGCTGAGAGAGGTTGGAATTGAACTTAGGATTTTGCTGACTACAAATCGCAACCAACTACGAATTATCCCCATCAACGATACATTATTTTCATCATGACCTTATTAGATAAACATTTAACATACTATTACAGAGTCAGCAAGTAACACAAGTTGCACATCAACAGGCACAACAACAAGTCGTCCAACAACAAACTCAACAACAAGTGGTACAGTCGGTGCAACAGCAACAACAAGTCGCCCAAGCTCAAGTACAACAGCAGCAAGTGCAACAAGTGGTACAGCAAGTGATACAACAGCAGCCAACATCGTCCCAGCAGCAGCAACAGCAATCGCAACAACAGCAGATGCAGCAATCCTCCACTCCATCGTCGACAGTAGCGACTTGGAGCACAACCGTTGCATCTCCCAGCAATGTTCAAGTAATATACTTCTAAATTTGAATATTATAATAACATAATAATATGTATATAAAATTATATACTATACATATTTTTTAGGTACTTGGTATAGGTACATTAGGAAGAAATATAACGGGAAATAACGTTATTACTACAAAAGATGGTCAAAAAATTGACGTGCAAACGTTATCTACTTTAACGAGGCCACCCGAAACGATAGAAGGTGACATCAAAGTAACTAATATCGATGCGAGTCAATTAACTAGTGGGCAAGTAATACATATTCCTGCTACACAATCGACTCAATCTACAGTGCAACCTATTACAATTACAGGTAAGTGAAAATTGTTATGTATGTATATACATCGTATTAATAAATATAAGATAGTAAATAAATCTACAGTACAAACAGATGGGGAGGGCCATTCCTTGTGTAAAAATAAGTCAAAAGTGTAGAATAATTTTTTTTTTTTGTTCGATATTTTATTTCCGAGAAAATCAAATTTGAAAATTACGAAGTATGCGTGCACTCTTAACGAAGATTTTATTTGTGGAGAGATATTAAGAAGTTCTAAATTCTATGTTTTCTAATACATTTCCTTATTGTAATTTTTAATTTTGCAAACAACGATTAATATTGTGGATAATCCTTACAGGAACACAAGGGCAACAGTTAACGCTTATACCTGCGTCCGCACTAGCAAATTTGACTACACAACAAGGTAACGTGATGAGGAATGTGAACAATGGAAATATAATGCAAATTCAGCCAACTACCGGAATGAATACGACCAATGGTTTCTTACAATCGATACCCGTGCAAAATATCCCTGGTTTAGGCAATGTGCAAGTAATACCGGCGAGCGCATTACAGCCGGCTACAGTTCAAACGTTGCCGGCCACTGTTCAAACCACGGCCACACCTATCGTCGCGACTACACCAACCGTGCAACTCGACTCAAATGATCCTACTAAATGGCAAATTCTCCAAACTCTTCAGCACGGGACCTTGACGACGTCCGCTACACCTGTATCTCATCAACAGCAAATATCGAATACGCCCAGTACTCCCACCAATAATGACACTAACGATCCTAATAAACAGCACCGTAGAAGAGTCGCGTGTACATGTCCCAATTGCGGCGATGGCGATAGGTGAGCGATAACTTCTTTCAATCATATCAATCAAACGTTTGTTTGTGACATAAATGAGCAATAGTCACATATATGCATTGATATACTCCTATATTTTTCTTTAGAAATAGAGATATAACCAGGAAACGACAACATGTATGTCACATTGCTGGATGTAATAAAGTATATGGAAAAACGAGCCATTTACGTGCTCATTTACGTTGGCACACTGGAGAACGACCTTTCATCTGTACTTGGATATTTTGCGGTAAAAAGTTCACTAGATCTGACGAACTCCAGAGGCATCGCAGAACTCATACGGGTGAAAAACGTTTCCAATGCCCAGAATGTACAAAGAAATTTATGCGATCAGATCATTTAACGAAACACATCAAAACACATACAAAGATACGGAGCACGGTAAGTACCGCAAATTTGCAACGCACCGTACGCGAGACATTGTTACTTATTGAATTTCAGGAAGCAGCCACTTCGACGCAGGAAGGCTCATCTGACAGCCAATCTTCCACCGAGCAAAAAATCATGATAACTCTACACAAAGAAGAGCAATCTGACATCATCATAGCAGAGCCGATTGAATCCATAAAAAACGACTCGTCGAGTCATATAACAAATGACTAAAAGTTTTATAAAATCAGATAACAATCAGCATATCGGTATCATTGGGCGAATTCAAGCCGGTAAAGCCGTGATGTATTTTTTTTTTATAAAGACAGATGATGTACCATAACGCACATGTCGTAACGTAAAGAGTGTAGTGAGTCAATAAGAAATGCCCATAAATGCAGAACGAGATTCAAATGTTAAATTAATTGTATATTATGCTTTTTAATCCTCTTTCAACACAGTGAGATTTTAAAGCACAACTGATATTTTAGTTATAAATTTTAAGAAAATTGATAGATGGTCAAGACCAGCTATCGTGTCTTAAAAAACTTGATGACTGTGTGTGTGCGTGCGTATGTGTAAAAGGTCGCTATAGTAAAAAGTTGTAAATATTTTACGGATCAGTTACGAGTATATTCGTCTTTAAATTCCAAGGTTGTTATATAACGGAATGGTTTTGATTTACAGCCGGTAGTGTTAATTGTTTTGTTAGGAGAAATAAAAATTGTACTCTCAATGACCCTAAGTGTAATCCGCGTTAATACATTTTCTAAAAAAAAAATGCCTTGCAATGTATTTAACTGATTTAACCTCTTATAATAGCACATGTGTAATATCATTTCGCACCTATATTGAATTCTAACATTCCTGGGCGATTTCTGATTGGCGATTACTTTAGGGACAACTGTGCATCTACAGGCATGGTACACCTGTCTTTTTATATTATGAGCAAAGTGACTAGCTATGCTTGTCGAACGAATGAACATGATTGATTCCTAACTGTGGATCTGATCAATTTGCTCGGCAAACAGACCTAGCCGCTTTGTCGATTGAACGCGCCCAATATTATAATACAAATTTTATGATCAATATTCAGTATTAAACTTTGGAGAAAAAAGGAGAAAATGTCATTCGGTAGACAAACCTTAAATAGACTTTAGCGCTTTTAGAATGTAAAAATGAAAGAAAAAAAGGAAATTGTTATGTGCATAATATAGCACATTAAGTTATATAAACGTAAATTGTATAAATTATATAATTATACAAAATATGTAAATTGAAATTAGCGCTACATTGGTCGAGCATTGACCTATTTGTTTTAAAATAAATAAACATCGTATGGTATAGCGAGTTTATAGTAGGTATAGCGATACTTCATAACATACAATCTATTTTTTTATTACGGTTATGTATATATATATGTATATAATGTAAATCAGTGTATACAATTTTGCACGAGAAAATTTTACACTTGTAAACATTTTTTCATATTATAAGAAATCGAGAAATATTTAGCCTTTTTTTTTTTAAATTTATCTAGTTACTTTGACCAGCCACAGCTTCATAATATATCGCACGCGTTATACATAAGTTTTATTATAGGAGTTTTTGTCTGAATTTGAATCGTGTACATAGATCTTAAATAATGCGGCCGCTTAGCAAAGTTATCTGTCTTGAAATAAATATGATATTACGGGCATGAAAAGAAAGAATGTAAACGTAAAAAACTTAAATGATACGGAGTACACGGTATCTAGTTAGTGGTGAAAGGTACGGAATTTAAGATATATAAGGACATATCATAGTCATTAAAAATTCATAGTTATGTATTCATTAATTTAGATATTTTTTAAATGACTATTATTTCTCCTATCTTAAGTTTCGTACTCTTCATCAAATGGATGCTTCATACTTCGCACTGTTATATCACATCTCCATTTTCATTTTTATTGAATCTATCTGTTACCAAAATCTGGCTAGAGCCTGTGGATATATCGAAGTCTCTAGAAATGGAAATATATAATTATATTTTTTCGCGTTTCTGCTGTTTTTTCCGATATAAGATGCTAATAAAAGTGTTGGAGAAAAACAATGCGTCTATGTATCTCACATTATATTAGATCTCTCTTTATTGACGAATAAATATGTCCCATATTACTCTACTAATAAATTTACAGATTACTATCTGCTAGAAAGCATGTAGGTATATAAACATCATTAAATTCTGTATTTTTATATTATACATACATAACAAACGAAAAATATTCTATTTTATTTTATATAATAAACACAAATATCGCTGCTTATTATTGACACATTGAAAAGTATCGTAAAAGGAACGTAAAGAGCTAGTATTAAAAAAAAATACATTTTTTTCTGAAAGCAACCTCATATCGTATCAATGCTACTTTAAATATTATTAGTTATTAGATCGATAATATTCATTCTTTCATTAATTATATTCTTATAATTTGTATGTTTATTTTGTAATTGAATCAATTGTTAATCTCAAACACAATGTAATATTGTGAGTGTTGTTTTTCATTATATATATATATATATACAGGGTGTCATTAATCGAGCGAATCACCTATCATGAGCAGGTAGAGTAGACCGAACTGAGTCGAAAAGTCCTGTACCATTTTGAGATTGCAGAAATAGTTAACGAGATAGAGAGAGAGAGAGATAAATATATATATATATAGGAACAACATAATTTAAAAAATGTCCGATCTCGAATCTTGGACGTGTCCGATAGCAAAAATTGTTCCAAATATTGCAAAATTTACGAGCCTTGTTTATAAGGTTTCGCAAAAGTGCAAAGAATCATCTTTTTTGAAATACAAGTTCAAAGTGAAATTACAGTTCGTTATACTGTAAACTATGATATTTTCTACACATATTGGCATTCTTACTTTGAACTCACGTTAAAAAAGAAATTCAATAGCCTTGCATATGCAAAACTCAACTTTCTCTCTTTCTATTGTAACATTTAACTTTCTTAAAACAAACATTTTTATCATCGTGAATAGGAAAAACGGGCGACAGAATGTGCAAAACATAAAATTTAAATAGACGTTTAATAGTAGCGCGATATTTTTTTGTTAACGCGCATACTAGCAGAATGCTTGCTCATTGCATATGTACAAGTAGCGCGAAAGTAACTCCATTTCAACTGGATACGCAATAACATCGGCCGGAAGAATTTAGATACAATTTCTAATTGTTTTCTTTACGCTATATTCTATTTTATGTTTATACAATGTGGTGTAACTTCGTCGATTGCTGCAAACTACACAATTGTGGATGCAAGGGTTTATCTCCATGAGTGCGCATATTCTCTGAAATATCTTTACTATAGAAGTATATAGTGTATATGTATGCGCGAATGCGTTTCCTTCATATGTATTTGCGTTGTAAAAATCAGTTTTACAAGAATTAATGCACGTGTCAAACAGTTTTTATGCACTAAGAGAACTGAAAAAAGCGAATTTGTTACACACTCATGCGTCTTTATTCGTCGAGACTCAGATAGTCACAGTCAAGGTACAGAATACCTGAATAGATACATGTTACAACAGTCAGATGATCAAATTTAAAGAAGAAGAAAGTAATAATTGTCAATGTCCTTTTTTTGTAATTTTTAGAACATTTCCAGAAAGAAAACGAAATTTCGATATGCAGATGTTCTATATTAATTCCATTAGCCTTTTAATTGCTGCATTTCCTTCTTGATTCGCATGATATGTTAATTCCAAGTATATATATATATTTTTAAAGAAAACAGAAATATTTTTATCTTTAAGAATTTTTGATGTATCGTTTAAATTTATTAATTTACCTTAAAATCGCGAATTGTCACGTTTATTCTTACCTTAAGCTTATATTTATTAATTTAACTGAGCCTCGGCGATACAAGTAAAAATTATACTTTATATAAATAGCAGGAAATTTGTTGATCCGAGTTTCGTTGAATAACGTTACTCAAAATAAAACTGCCTATGCATAAATAATGTCTATAGGTTGCGTCTTTTCTCGGAGTATCTTTTTTATTTTATTTCACTTGAATTTAATCATAAAATAAAATCTCCTGTTTGCACTGAAATATAACAACGCATATAATTCGTCAATGCCTGGAACGTTTCAATAATCATTCAATCAAGTATTATAAATAGTGAATCAAATGGCATTAGATCATAGATATAGTTTAACGTAAGTAACATCTTAATGTTGAATGTTACAATAGCGTAACAGGCAAAGACAAATGTAACAATATAATACACGATTTTGCTATTTTGACTGATATTCCATTTAATACAATTTGTTGAACGTAGAACAAAACAGTTCATTGAACTTCGTATTGAGTCAATATCGACTGATTAAGCGATAACGATTCGAATTTTGTAGTCGACATGTTTTATCTGTAAAGAGACATTATTGCCTTACTAAAGGCAAAGAGTGCCAAATGGTATCAATGTGTTAAAAATAGATTATACATTCGGCTAAATTATGAAATCGGATAGTTGAAAGAAAAATATCACTCATATCTCACTTGAACAAGTACTGCGGCTACTCTGAAGTAGAGGAAGTAGATGACGAAGTAGACGATGTCCGGCTAATTGGCTGTCCTGTTCGGTGCGCTTCATTTGCTGCCCTATATCGCACATAATAATATATTCATAATATTTACGAATGCTATCAATTTAGTAAATAGAAAACAAAGACAAAAACAAGACATAGCACAATAAGACCATCTAAAATTTTTCTGTAATAACTGTTATCTATTTTATTGCATGAAAAATTAAATAATAAAATACAAAGTGTAATAAATATGTTATTATAGGACTTGCCTAAACAAAGCAGCAAAACTAGATCCGGCTAAAGTCGATCCAGCTATATTGGCTCCAGCATCTTGGTTTGCTTCTGCCTGATTTTGATCTCCCAAATTTTGTCTGCAAATGGGACAGGTTCCATGCTAGAAAATGAAAAGAAAAACAGAAAGAAAGGATTATTTTAGTATTGATACACGAGTTGTTAAAAAACTTGGAAATTTTTCAGCTCTTACTAATTCCAGCCAAGGTACAATACATGGTGCGTGATAGACGTGCTGGCAGGGTAATTGTCTAACAGGTTCGGACAGCTTAAAATCTTCCCAACAAACGGAACATTGTAGCTTGCAATCTGCATAAAGAAAAAGGGAAGAAAGGTTGTTGTCAAAAAGTGTAATTTGAAAAAGTAGGACTGTTCTTTCTAGCTGAACTTCTTTGAATTGTTTATCTTTTCTCTTTTTTTTCTCTAACAGAGAGAAAAGAGAAAGAAAGATGAATCGTGTAAGTTTAGCTGAAAAGAATAGAGAGAGAGCTTAGAAACTATTACAATAAAATAAATCAGATGAATAGTTAGAAGTGAAGATACTTCTATGTATGAAAATATAATTGCTTAATATATTATACTTGAAAATATTCTGGTGTTTCTTTTAGATCCTTATCAACCATTTAAATTCTCTGGCATGTATATCGTCGTTCTGCTTCCCAAATGATAAGGATCTTAAAAGATGATAGATGTACATAGATATCGCAAACTACATGTCAATATATATCATTGGATACTAACCAACTTGACTTTGCGTTATAGTAGTAGTAGGTATCTCATCGATCTGATTGCGTGACAAAGGTGGTGGTCCAGTACCATCCATTTGATTCAATAATTGGGTAACAATAGCGTCTAATCCATCACGACCCCAAACATAATCTCCAGGATTTCCCAAGAACAGTCTAACATTGAATCTACATTATTTTGTTTTATTTTAGTAACACTAAAGATTAAATAAAATTGTTTAATGACTTGTACCCCCATGGATGAATGAACTTTTTAAATATTTACTATTGCCATCATTGTTGGAAAAGTATGTTGACAATTAATGACAATTCATGTAGAGTTTTTATAAAAATACATGTACAAGAAAAAAAGCAGGATTAAATATTAAAAATTAATATTTAATTTATTAATTAAAAATTAAATAATTGCGAAAATAAAAAAAATATGTTTCTAGAGAATATGTAATTTCAAAATGTTATAAATATCGATCTATAAATATATATCGCATCTATATTTATAATTACACAGGCTAATATTACAAGTAATTATCATGTAAAACAACTTACACCGATGGCTGTGCATCTTGACCCACAGAGTTGCTTAGACTCGCTGCTCCCGAAAGATTGAAGATAAAATCTTGTATGAAATTCTCTATAGGCACCTGTAGGCTCTCTTGTCTTCTACGATTGCTACTTCATAAAAAAAATAAAACCATTACCTTACAAGAGACATTATATATTTATTGAAACAAATATATAATTTTGCATTTACAAAGGATGCACGAAGAAAAAAAAATCAAATCTACCATTTATCAAATTTAATGTTAAACATTCAAACAGGTAAATCCAATTTACCTAGCGATCTTTGGAAATTGCATTACTATATGTAACATCTATGGCCGCATTCAGCACGATGTTTGTTTTATAACTATTTTAAAGTTTTCTTCGCGCTGATTGGATTATATTTTTAAATCTGGGATAATAGTCCTATCTCAGCAAAGAAAATTTCCAATAGTTGTAAAATAATGGCTGTGTTCAGAGACAGCTTTGCAACTATTGTAAAATTCTTTAATATGATTGATCTTCCCCTTAGTTCCTCACTGGATCTAAATATATAGATCAATTATATTAAAGAATATTACAATTGCAAAATTGCTTTCTTTGCTAAAGTAAACTAACGTAACCATTGCTTTGCGACAGTTTGGTACAGAAAAGATACCTGCTGGTGCGACGTCCATCTTGAGGATTACGGGACCAATTAGACCTCCTTCTGCTCCCGAGCACATAGTTTCTATTGCCTCCACCCGGTTGTTGACTGGTGTTCAACTGTTGATTGGTGTATGTATTCGAGAGACCCATTATCATTTCTATTATATCACGATCACGGTCGGAGCGCTGTGAAGGTTGTAGTAAATATATGCAGAGTTTAAACATTTCTGATGGATAATTTCTCTCTTAACCCTAGTTTAATTAAATTTAAACTTACATTCAAGGTCAAGATATCGATATCCCCATCGCTCAGTTCTTCGCTGTTCATATCCACGCCCGAGCTACCCTCATTGCTGCTGCTCTCCAGCTCTTCGATGAAACCACTTGCACATCGTGGACACGTGTAATTCTAATTGGAAGTGAAATGTCAGGAGAGTCTGAGTTATGCAATGTAAATTGCAAAGTCTGTCTTCGACAGATTGCCTGGGACATATGTACAAGCTTGTATTAGTTAAACACTTGCAAATTTAAGGATGTACAAAATGACTATATCTCAGAAAATCAAAGTCCACATTCGGGACATGTCTTAAAAGACATTTTTCTGACAACTGTCTAAAAGACATTTTATAAGACGTCTTATATCCCGATTTTGGACTTTATAAATGCTTTCCAACAAAAGATACAGATAACAGTGTAATACAGTAAATTTTTACATTCTTATTTTTGTTAAAGTTAAACATGAAATGATCACTGTGTTACAATAAGAGGTTTTTGTTGCAAAGCACCATATATTAAGTATGTTCCATGTGTTGTACAACAGACTTTTTAAGTCTATTGATAGAATTAAAATAACAAAAAGATTCGAAAATCTTTCTGTCCTGTAGCTAATCAACAGACTTAAAAAACTTTATTGTACAATACATGAAATATTAACCTTATTTGGAATCTCTTGCACTTATTAGTGATAAATTTAGTAATAAACTTTTACACTGGATTAGTGTACATTAAAATTTTTTGGATTAGTGTATATTTAAAAGGCTGCTTTATATAAAGTATCTAAATGCAGGGGCATATATTATAATCAACTTCAACAATAAAACAATACATACATATTGTTCAGTAGCATAATTGCATATTTTATTGTTTAAAATGTTTATATGCTTTCATATTAATTTTGCTAATCTTGCAGCAGCTTTTAATATGCACCAATTTAGTAGAATACAAGACCGAATTTGTTGTAATTCTCCATTGCCTATGTGGAATTTGCCTTTTGTCAGTAATCTGGCTCTTTAAACTTCAATGTAAATTTTTGCATTGTTCTATATTATGTAAAAGTCTAAATAAATACTTCCAAAAATTTATAAAAGCTTGTAAAAACTTTAACAAATTTTTAGTTTTTTTTTCAAATTTATCTATTAGAATTCACAATCAAAATATCGACTGTGCCTTCAAGTAGAATACAACTTGGTTGGTCGAAAGTTGTTAGCTGCGTTCAAGAGAGAAAAAGTTAATCGGTTAACTCATGATTCTTTAATATAATTATTTCCTACACTTAGATACAACAAAGAATTAAAAGCAAGAATCAATCATATCAAAGAATCTTTAAGCGCTAATTGATTGATTTACATATGCAATCCATTGTCTTCACGAATAATAACAATAATAATATTAATCACAGTGAGACAGCAATATCTTTGCATACATCAAAAATACTTTAAAAGAATAATAAGGTAAACAAAATAACACACATATGTATGTATATATACACACACACTACTTCTAGAATATAAGGCTATGAGATTATCTTATTCTAAATAAAACAAAAAGTATAACATGGTATAAGAAAGAAGAGCAAATTAGTGCATATATTTGTGCGTTTATTAATTTCGTATAAAGAGCCAGATTAATCAGGCGAGAATTCCAAAATAGTTGAGGTCGTCGATGAACGCCCTTGTATGTCGTAGTTTGACTCAAAACACGCTGTCTCGTGGACGGAGGGGTTCCATCGGGAACAACGATCGCGAGAACGTGCGTAACATGCTCTCGGCGGAGGGGAGGGAGAAGGGAAGGTTTTAGTACAGCACAAACGTGTACAAATGCGATTCGACCGTACCGATTGTTGTTAAAATTTCGAAAAATCGCGAAGCTGCGGGGAAATTAAAGAGCGTTATCGCTGACCTCGCCATTCGACGTGGAAGAGAACTGGGCAAGCTACATTTATTGCGGGGACGAGGGGGGAAAAGAGAAGAGATAGAAATGGGATCTTTTGACATGGGGTGACAGTTAGCCCGGGAATAGACGTACCATCGCGGCGATTCCGCGCCGCACGGTACGAACGAGTGGTCCAGGATGACGAGGAACGTCACGACGCACTTACCGGCAGCAGACGCTCGATTTCGACGCTGCATTTGTGGCAAAAAAACCGAGACATCGGACTTCCATCCACAACGGCCTCCGCCATGTTTTACGTGTCTCTCAATTTTCCATCCCTACTTGCCGTGGTTACGGTTGGCGATTTATTCGGTTATGTTCGACGCGCCTCGGGTCGGCTCGGGCTTCGGTCACAAGTGCAACGAAATCGTTAGATGGCAAAGTATTGAGCGAGCCTAGAGACCTCTATTTACATCCGTACATTAACTAATTTAAAGACTTGTGTCCACGGTGTTGAAACTTGATCTTACATCCAAGAATGTAGTTAATCAACATGTAGTTTTTACGGAAAAATAAGTTGATTGACTACATATTTCTTTGTCCGAGAATTTTGACGAAGTTCTAGCACCGTGAACACTGTTTTAAGAATGCCATGTAAACGTAGTCTATTGATGTATTCTTCTAGATTAAAAATTCTAATCGGATAATCCAAAAGAATTATACCATAATAACAGCGAGCGCTCATTCAATTGTTGAGTTCGCTGAATGCACACTGAAAACAAGTGTGAACATGAAAAGGCACATTTATTTAGAAATATATAAAACATATAGGAAGAGCTATCGGCCCGTATTCAGAACGCGCTAACAACGATGTTTATCGATAAAAGTGCGTTCTGAATACGGGCCATCTATTGAGAGGTTGTCAATAATCGCGTTCAGCAGACTCAACACTCAACTGTTGCGGAAGGGATCTGTGGCGCTCGCTGCTATTGGATGATCTAAAAGAATATACCAATAGTAGCGAATGCTCACGGACCCGCTCCGCAACAGTTGAGTCTGCTGAACGTGACCAATGGGTGCATCCAGGGGTGCGTTCAGAAATTACACTCAGATAACTCTTGGGTGCATTTTTGATATAATATACGTAACGTAAACTATAGCCTAGAGTTACCTAGGCGTAATTTCTGAACGCAGCCCATAAGCACAACTGCTCACGGAGCGCTCAGTGAGCTCTTGTTCTGTTTGGTTTGTATTTTTAGATCTAATGAAATATGTCAATCAGATAAAAAAGCTCACTGAGCGCTCAATGAGCGGTCGTGCTTCTGGATGCACCCAATGGCTGCGTTCAGCAGACACAACAGTTTTAGAACCGTTTTATGATTCGTCTCGCTGATTGGATTATAATTTTAGATCTAAAGGAATAGTCCTATCTCAGCAAAGAATCATAAAACAGTTGTAAAATGAGTTTGTCGTGTTGCTTGCACTTTTTGCACTTAGCATCTTCATTCTCTCTCTCTCTTTCCAATGCCTGATGCAGCCTGCCTCACCTGCCTGATACATGTTTATCCTGTTTTAAGTGCAAACAAACCAAACCTAACCTAACCTGTCATTGTGGAAATCCACTACGAATCCTGTTACAGACAATTCAAATTTTGTAACGCTCTTAGGGAGGCAGGAGCCGTTAATTATTTAATAAAAAGAAATTTTGTAAGCAACAAAAAAACATTTCATATTTTGACGCGATAGTCGTGTAATTAATTAGCTTCAGTGAATGCTTTGTTTGGTGACAAGTTGACACAAATATCATTCTATCTTTCTTGGTATTTAAACAGTATAATGAAGATAGAACGATACTTGTATCGATTTGTATTATCCGAATGGAAAGCACCTAGTATAGTTTTATTTATTAGTTAGAGATTTAATTATGGAGGACCATTGGATAAAAAAACTGAAAACAGAACTTGTAGACATGGATACGTCGATGCTCAAAGAATTGTTACAGTCCAAGATGGAAAATGTAAATGAAATAAACAAATACCAAAATCAACAATTCCATGGTAAATTTTGTTGAGTATGTGGACTAATTTAATTTGGTGGGAAATAAGCTACTGTGTTGCTTTAAAGTCTTTATGGAATTATAAAATACATTGTTTTATATTTCTTTTTGTACTGATTCTTATATATTTTCAGAGGATGAAATTAAGTTAACGGAACTAAAGTCAAACTTGGTAGCTATAAAAGAGACACTGCATATGGAAACTCAAACTCTGGAGGACAAAAATAATAAGTTATCAGTAGAGAAGAATTGTTTAGTGAGTTTAATATACTTTTATTTTTTTCATAAAGAGAAGTCTATGGATAATTCATTATTACAAAATATTCTTTATTAGAAAGAGCTAGAAGAAGAGAACAAAAAACTTTTACAAGAGATCAAACATTTGGAAAGAAAACATACTAATTTGAAGTCTGTTAAACCAAATTTGCAAGATCAGCAATTACTGGAGCAAGGAAGGCATGTAATAGCATTGCATATTAATGCATTCTTTTTTATTGATGTTGTCATAATTTTGTTTGTTTTATAGGAAAAAGATGAAATTGTATAAGGATTTAACAGGAATACAGTGGGATTATGAAGCTATGAAGCATAACATTCAAGGCTGTATCCTTTTTTCCAAATATTTATATATATGAATTTAACTAATATAAAATATATGCCAAGCATGATTCTATATTTTACACTATTTCTTTTGTCAAAAAATAGCAGATAAATGTACCCTTAATTCTTGACACAGATGTCTCAAATAGATGCGACTATATTCACCACTTCTGTTATGAAACACCAGAAAATGACAAAAATTTAACTGATTCACTGTGGCATGAAATATATTTGTCTACAAGCGAAGCTAAAGTCAGAGATTAGAATCTTTCACCAAACTGATATAAATATTATACTTAAATGAAATTGTAATTTTGATATTTAATTACTTTTGAAAACAAATATGTAAAAATATTGATTTAGGGTAAGGAAATAAAATTTTTTATACAATTATTTCGAGGTACATCTTTTTATTTTTTTTTTTTAAGTTATTTTATTATTAAAAACTCTTATTATATAACCACCTTTATGTATAGTTATTAAGTTTTGGACATCAAAAGATTAAACGCACGATTTGTATAATCTATCATGTAATAAACAGAAAGGATAAATAATCCTGCTATTACAATAGTACTTATGATACAGAAAAGTACAAAGCTTAAAATACTCGCACCAATAGCCAATACTGTTGCTGAAAATAATACATGCTTGTTTAGCATCTAGCAGTGGTAACTCTATGATCAAGAATAAGAAATGTAGAGTTCCTTACCTTGAATTATCATAAAACCAATAAATACGAATGTAGTACTGATAATAGCAAATATAATAAATAAAAGGATAGGTGCCAATAATGCTGCTATTGCAATGAAGATAGCCACCTGTAGAAACGGATTATGGGCTAATTGCTCCTTAAATCTGAGGATAAACTTGTGAATGTTAGGATGATGTAAAAACGTTTGGCATTGTTTAGCCTGTTTTTCGTCTAGAATTAAACATGAATCCTTTATTCTCTCTCTTCTTTCAAAACGATAGAATAAATAATGTGACAAAACTAGTAAAGTGTTGCACAAAGTAAATATACTTACAATACATGATTATTGAATCATATATGCTGTCGTTTTGTGTCTGAAATAAAACAATCTATGTTTATTTGTCTTAAATTGGCAAATATATAAGGTAAGATAAAAAAAAGTCATATTAGGCAACATTATAGAATAACATTACTGTATAGAGAATGGACACAATAATATGAACACTTGAGAAATATTCGATCTACTTGTCAGTATTATGAAAGTTATTTTGTAAAAGTATAAACAGTTTTTTTTTTCTTAAAAAGTAATTCGTTACTATTACAAGTTAATTCTGAAAAGTATTTTTGTACTTTTTTTAGTTACTTTTTTGTAATTTTGTATACTTTTGATTTAAATACAAGACTTATTGTACACTTCTAATAATACTAAATTATTTTGTTAATTTTATATATAAAAAATATTTGATCTTATGCAGCTTCATTTATAACAAATTAGTATTACTTAGGTTGAAGAATCTGATGGGATTAATATGAAATTACATTTATTTGTATACTAAAAGACTCTTAGTTTAATTTTTAATTTTTATATAGACATTTAAGAAGAATAATTATTAGAAATAAAGGTGTATTCCAATCCAAAAAATAATCATAGATTATTCACCGAGTATTTCATTTTGATCAGTCAATATATTGAATAAGTTTAAAATATAAAAAGCAATTATAAAAGTAGCTATTAAATTATAGTTACAAAAAATATAACAAAGTTACAGTTATAAATGAGAAAAAAGGAACAACATTATAAATTACAACTTTATTACAAGTAATGAGTTATTTCCCTGCTACTTGTTTTATTAACAAGTTCGTCTTCATATATTCATATTTTGAATATTTTTAAGTATAGTTAGAAATAAAATTTAAGGCTAGACTTAATTGTAACAGTATAGTAGAGAATGGATAAATGTGATAAAAATTCATTTGTAATTCAATCTTTTGGCTTTATGTAGCTGAAGCGAATATATATATTAATTTATATTGTTGAGTACAAAATTTAGTTTTTACTATTTATGTTCTGTGGAGAATAACTATTTCAAAAGTAGAATGTGTATAAATGACAGACTTGTTATTAAAACAAGTGCTAAAAAATAATATATTTTCAAGTGTGTTGACATTACTTTGTCTATCCTTTATACATTTAATTTACCTCTGTCATTTTCGTTAAAATTCTTCAAAGCAATTCTTGAATGCCAAACACTTCATGTATATCATGTGCAAAACTTGCACAATGTAATTCGGAAAAAAATAAATATAGGTATGTAGCTTTTGCACATATATAGTGTTTCCGAAAAGATAGATGTTAATCCAAATCCAGAAGCGATGTCGTTATTAAATCACATCTTATTGCATCGTATACATATGTGCCAGTGTTTCTCTATTTCCTCTCCTTCTTTCTCCTATCAGCGAAAAATGTCGAAGTCCAGGCCAGTCCAGATTTGCGCAAAAGCGATACGCATCAAATCAATACGTCTATTAAGCCGACGACATACGATTCATACGAATATTTTCCTGCTGGATTACTAGAGCTGCGTTCAGAATATCGATTATCCTTGTTTATCATTCGCGAATAACAAGGATAAAACAATACCTGGGTGCATCCGGGACAACGATTCTCTGAACGCAATCTAGCTGGATTTAGAATCTTGCCACCGTATTGGCTGCAGTGCTAACAGCGCCAGTACCGCAACCAATCCGATGGCAAAAATCTGACATAGGCATATATATATATATAACTCTGCAGCGCTCACGTAGTCTATAGGTTTTCATCGAAAGCTTCTGAGATCAAGCTTTCTAAATAATCCAAATTAAAATGAAAACGCGTTACGCGCGGAGGACATGGAGGCGCAGGTTAGCGTGACTGATATACACGGTGGACAGATCAACTGCGAGTTAATAAATGTTAAATATGCGCGTGAAAATTTTCGTGCTCTGACGGGATGTTAACGAGAGCCCAGGCTCTAACACGGATGTTGAAGTCAATAAGCTAAATAAATTCGCAAACAATGCAGTTACAGATTACGCTGGGCAGTCCGTTTGATGACGAGACCGCTTTGTCCTGGTCGAGGTATGATCGGCAAGACTCGACAATTTATAGGCGATCACCAATCTTCTGAACGAAGGAGTCGTTGATCCATTAATTATTTATGACTTTAACTAAACTCCGACTTAATTTAATCAGTGATTACACTATCTGTACTTTCTTTGTTTATGTGTACATAAATAGTTTTTGTTTAATTTATGAGCAAATTAGATTAGAAACGAAGAATTGTAAATTATTAAATGAGTCGAAGTTAGTTCTCATTATTTACTTTAATTAAATTTTAATTAATCATTGATTAACTTGTCAAGCAATGCCTGTATATATTTTAACATATAATTACTTTATAAAAAAATTAATTAGATTGTAGAGACAACTTAATCAGAAAGTTTGTTTTAAACAATTCAAGTACATTAATCAAAATTTGATCAAAATCCTTATTAAGTTAATTTTAATTCACTTAATTAGTAATTAATATAATTATTGAGCAATAGTTGAATTAATTTTATTAATACATAAAGTTACTAAATTTTTAATATTTAATTTCTAGAACAGATTAGACAGGCATAACAAATTATAATTAAAATATGTTTTAAATTGTCAATTAATCACAATTTGGTCAAAATTATCCTTACCATTACTATTACAAGCATTGGCAAGGTTGTATTATAAGAAGTTTCTTTCATTCAGGAAAGAGAGACAGAAATGGTTCCTGTCATTGCTGTGTGGTACATGTCTGATATATGCTACACGTACATCTGTCCCTCTATTGATACCTGTTATTAGTCAAGAGAAGAATTGGTCAAAGTCGGACTCAGGCATAATACTGGCAAGTTTTTTCTGGGGATATACATTGACACAATTAGCTAGTGGTTACATTAGCGACAAAATCGGTGGGCAGAGAGTAATATGGATATCTGCTCTTGGTTGGTCAGCAACAACCTTCCTCATGCCAGAAGTTATACAATTCTTTTCTGGAGACGGGACATCTGTTTTGCTTGTTGCAGTAGTGAGAGTGATAAACGGAGCATTCCAAGGTAATTTTCAAACATTACGTAGTTATACTACAAATAATGGAGGATAATATGATACTTGTTATTTGCAGGAATGCATTTTCCTAGCATGATTAGCTTGATCAGTCAACGCTTGCACAAGGCAGAAAGAGCCTCTTTCTTTAGCTTATTAACATCAGGATCTGCTTTGGGCACTTTACTCACTGGATCTTTAGGCTCATATCTTTTGGAAAATTATAACTGGATCACTGTCTTTCGAGCGTTAGGTACAATGTAGCTTATGTAAATCGATGTCAAATTAATTGAAAACACAGATAAATGATGATAGTTTTTGAGATATGTCATGTAAGAATAATTTCATAGTTGAACGCATCTCTTTGTTAATTTTATTTTCAAACAGAAATGAGATACATTTGTGATGCTCACTAATTTACTTATGTAGGGAGCATGAGTTTGGCATGGACAGCTTTATTAAGCTACCACAGCTTGTCTTTAAAAAAAAAAACAGTTTCTACCAAATCCACCTCTGGCTACAGACTACCTGTGTTTAAACTTCTATCACAACCTCCTTTCTGGTAATTATGATACATGGGCTTTAATATTTTAGAAATATATTTTATATTTATACAAGCTAAAGATACAAAGAGAAATTTTTATAATCAGTTGTTGCAATTAGATTGTACTTTTCTAAAACTATTGATTTATGATGTTTTTGATTTTCGCGTTTTAAATCTCGAATTCTAGAAATAGTAATTCTTAAAATATGGAAAATTCGTGGAATTTAGTAACTTCTTTACTAGATTTTTTTGATACTTTGTTGATTTCGAAAACTTATGATTGCCTAAAAATAATAAAAGTTTAAATTATACATATACTTTAATTTACACAAATGCTTTTAAACATTCAATTGTAAAAATTACACAAATTTATAAACATAAGATTTATAAGATAAATATACCCTGTTTTATAGATCAAATTTTTCATCTATCTTTGTGATTGTTAATTTTTATGATTTTCAGGTCCTGTGTTATTGGACATGCTTGCCAAAATAACTGTTTTTTTGTACTACTTTCGTGGATGCCTACATATTTCCATGATAATTTTCCTGGAGCCAAGGTAATGTTATTATTTAATTTTAATGTTATTATATTTAATTTTTATTTAATTTTATTATTATTGTTATTTAATTTTTATAATTTTAATTAACAGGGCTGGATTGTAAACATGGTGCCATGGCTATCGATATTACCTTGTACATTCTTGGGGAAAGCTTTGTCAGAGATAATTAGAACTAATTTTTCTGTTACTGTAACACGCAAAACAATTCAAACGATTTGTTTTGTCATTCAAATTGGAAGTCTGATATTTTTGAGTAAGTTTGACACTTAGTTATCAAGATTTGTGCAATAAAAGTTTGGAAAAACTTGTTAAAAGTTAACATTTTTAGATTATTTAAATATCCATAACAAGTCCTTTTTTTAATAAAGTAATTATATTTAATGTTTAGCCTTTGCTTCAATATTAAATTATTTGACACATTTTAATGCAAACTAAAGAATTATTCTTTAAAAAAACATATTGTAATGGACATTTAAGTAACCCAAACAAATTTTTATATAAAAGTTATGTATTTCACGGATTATCTCTGTATCTATACCTATTTTTGAAAAACCCATATTTTGTGAACATTGCAGTTCATTTCATCAGTGAAAGAAGAATGTTATTATTTAATTTTTATTCACACAATAATATTGCTTAGTAAGTCTATGAAAAGTATATGAAAACATATAAAAAGGAAATGATATAAGAAGTATTCTATAATAAAGATAGTAAATAATATCTCATATTCACAGCTAAGGAAAAGCTAAATAATAATTAAGTAATTTGTAGTAATAACTTGTGTAAGTAATTGAAAATAACAGTAATTTTTTGTTACTATATTATGTTGAATAAATTTTAATTAACAGGACTGAATTGTAAACATGGTGCCATGGCTTTCGTTATTACCTTGTACATCTGATATAGATACAGTATAATCCACAAAATATATAGCTTCTATTTAAAATTTAGCTTCTTATTTAGTACTCATGGAAGTCTTAAAAGTAATATCAATTTTTATAAGTATTTCCAAATTTTTGGCCTGAAGTTAAATGTATATTACACGCGTATAATTTATATTATGCACATATTCCCTATAGCAAAAGTGGAATATTTTGAAACTGCCATACTTTGTCTCGCGTTGATTATCGGTGGCTCAGGTTTCCACAATAACGCTATTGCTGTTAATCCTTCGGATCTTGCACCAAAACATTCCGGCAGCGTATTCGGTCTGATGAATACTGTTGGCGCGGTACCTGGTAAGTAATTGATGGAAACAGTTGCATGAACAGCTAATATATTTTCTTTTTTTCAGGTTTTCTTGGTGTATATTTTTCTGGACACATTCTACATATGACACATAGTTGGTCCGCTGTCTTTTTACTTATAGCTGTTATTGATGTAGTAGGATGTATAATGTTTTTATTGTTTGGCTCCGGCGAAGCAATCATATAAGTTGTAAAATAAAAATAAATTTCTGTTAAATAAATTTTAAAAATAAATGTGTATTGAACAAATTTGAAGAACAAATTTTTATCAAATTATTCTGAAAATCGTTCACAAAAAATTAGATCTCGCGTGTGTCATGTTCAAAGAATGGACATACGTCAATCGATAGAAAATATTAGATTTATTAATGTTGCTTGCATTTTTTGCATTTATTTTCACTTCTAGCTCTATGTAGTTTTATTTTAATTCCTGTTCGATCTAATTTTTTATTCTAATTTTGCTGCGGCCTTTACCCCGGATCTACATAAAGTTTCAAGCCTTTAAAACAGGGAGCACAGACTTTTGCATAACGCATAAAGCATGTGCATAAGGAATTTCATTGGTCCATTTTCTTATGCATGAGTCAATGGACCAATCAAATTCTTTATGTATGTGTATTATGCGTTATGCAAAAGTCTGTGCTCCCCGCTTAAGCGTCAAGCGTCAACATGAAATTGTACCTTTATGCGTTATGCAAAAGTCTGTGCTCCCCGCTTTACGCTATTCCGCTGCATGGGTTTGCACCACAGTATATACTGTGTTTGCACCCTCAGATTTGCGTTGCCGAACGCAGCTAGTGCTAGAGGAACCATTAACCAAGAAGAAGAAAAGAGACAAAAATTCATAGAATTTTAGCTTTTGTCACATCGATCGATTTTTTATTTCTTCATAAGTGAGTATAATATTATATTTTTTATTATATTTTCCAATTAATTTATTGATCTAAAATGTCAGTAGTGCGTTAAAAATGGAGAGATGTATTGTCTATGAATTTGTTATACAGATTTACAGCAGTATTAAAATAACTTAAGTATTTAGATCTGTTTTTATTAATAATTACAAAACATTTTCGTAACATCTTTTGGATAATTTCAAGATGTTCATATGTGTTCTTTGAGATATTATTTAACTACAAAATTAATAGTTATAAATTATGCTGATAACAGAAATGTCACTTAACATACGTGGGGATTACAATGGAAAAGAAGACGAAGAAATAGATTCGCAAACGAGTCAATGGTACGGAGTACGAGAAGCTACATTGTTTCTCGTCGATTGTACAGAGAAAATGTTTATGCTTTCATCGGATATTGGCGACAAAAATATCACTTACATTGAAAAGTTTTTTAAGGTTAGTTATAATATTGCATACTAGTTTGAAACTTGTTTTTTTTTAAATAAACTTCTTGCACAGTACATTTTTCCTCTTTTTCTTTTCACATTGGAAAGAAAAAAAGAAAAGCTAAATATGTACAAAGAGTTCAACTAAGAAAGGACCTTCTTAGTTAAAGAGTTACATATAACTGATTGTCATTCATTATTCTTTCAGCTATACAAACAAATTCTTCGGCAAAAGCTAGCATGGAGTATGCAAGATTGGATGGGCATGGTACTATTTGGTACTGAAAAGAGTGACACAAATTTACCATGGACAAATATTCAGACTCTGCAAGAACTCAGAGTTGTTACTTTGGATGATTTACAACAGATCAGAAAACTAAGCAAGTATAATTATAATTGATGCCGAACATTCCCCAAAAATATGAGCTACAACTTTCATTTATTGGTTTTTTCTGATCTTTACAGCTAAAAGCAAGATGAAGGGTTACGAGAGTATGAAATTAAAAAATGATGTTCTTCTTCTTGATGCGTTGACATATATTACAGATATCTTCTTGAAAATAAAAACAGTCCTCACTAAACGTAGGATAGTTTTGATTACTTGTTATGACCCTGACTATCCGGACGACGAAAAACATCGCATCAGAGCAAAAGCAAAGTCTTTGAAGGAGTTGGGCATTAATCTGCATGTGATTGATATGAGAAATAATTGGCCACTCAATGATTTCTATAAAGATTTAGAAATGCTGTCAAGTAAGATAGATACAGGTATTTACAGAAGAACATCGCTTGTGGATTTGGTACAACAGATTAAAGCGCCGTCCAAAAATATCGCACGTATATCCTTCCAGATATCTGATGGTGTGGAAATTGATATAGTGGTGCGTACTCTGGGCAGGTAGGTCTCCGTGTGAGAATAATATTAAATTTTGTAACATTATTATCGTTAAATTTTGTACACTTAAAAACGCAAGTATCATTTTATAGAAAACGTCGCTGCTTGCAAACGAAGCCACTAAGTAAAGCGACCAATCAAGTTTTGTCGAGATCAACCTATTTCAAGGGTATCAATTTTCTCAATAACGAGTACAATGAGGTGTACATCTCTCGCTTAACGTAAAAGTTTGCTTAATCTTAATCGGTTATATTCGTGAGCCCAATGAACAAATTCACCTATGTTATGAAAAATTGTTTATAAGAAATATACAATTTTATATAATTTTAAGTTCCATAATTTTATTCCTAAGTTACATAATTTTAATCTTCAAAATATGAAAAAAAACTTAATTACTTTGAGTAAAAATATATTAATTTAAAGACTCTGGACACATGTATGAGTTCCGGTTAAGATTAAACTACACGCAAAATATCTTTATTTCTTATATTCGATTTGTTTAATCTATTATAGGAAAACGATGATGAATCTGAGGAATCTGAATTACCTTATATGATACCAGACGAAGTTAACTTGGAAACTAAGGACTTAATCGGTAACAAGAAGCTGCGTTTCACGCAAAAGGAGCTTTTGCGGATAAAGCATTTATATCCACCAGCTATCAAGATAATCGGTGTAAGACCTATGCCTAGTGACTTTTTCAGATACCATGTTAAACGGAAGTATTTTGTTAGAGCGGATTATGGTAGCACTCGTAAAGGTAATACATATATAATGCACAATAGAAAAATTAATGCGCGAAATTTAATTAATTTATTGTGTATCAATAAAATTATACATACGTGAAACGTGATAATACTCGATTTATGATAAAGCAACGTCTAGTTACTATATAATGGCTAATCTCTATACAATATACTCTTTGCTTCCTCTTTTTGTTTTTATTTCTTGCTGTTTTCTTTTTACGATTATTTTATTGATAATAATGTTTCTTCCGAAGTTTATCAACTTTTATATCGAATGAAAGAAAATGAAGAAATATACATATAGAGAATAAAAAGTACAAAGGCAAGAGGTAAAAAGTAAGAAACCGGAAGTAAAGAATAAATCAGCTTCAAAAATAATGTTAAATGTGATAATTTTCTTCTTACAGACAATCTATTGTTCTTCAGCGCTTTATTAAATAAATGCGGGGCTAAAAATAAAATGATAGTGTGCGCGTTCACAATGCGGATGAATACACAAACTAATCTTTGCTACATGATTCCAAATACTGAATTAGGCGGCTTTTATCTATCGAAAGTCGCATTTCAAGGTATGTTTACATTTCACATAATTACACTATCAGAGAAAAACTCAAGAAATTCTTTACTTGATGAACTTAATTTTATATTAGGGAACATAGGAGACAAGAGCGAAGCGTTGCTACATTATGACATGCAGAAGTCTGTAACTGACGAGGAAGTTTTGCTGTGGAAAGAAACAATCGACAGACTTAATATGGACTACCATCCATATAATTACAGATCTTACAAATTGGAGTGTCAGATACAAATGGTGGAGAAGTTAGCTCTGGATAAAGAACCTGGCCCTCCACCGATTGATTCCATCGAGAAATCATGTAAGCAATATGTATCGAGATATAAAAAAAGACATTTCAAGCTAAGAGTTTGGAAACACTTTTTAAAATATTTATATAATAATAATTTGATATATAGGATTACTTATTCAAATATATCCATAACATTGTTTTTTAACAATAATTCTTTGGAAAAGTATTTTAACAATTGTAATAGTTATATCTAAAAAAATTATGAGAAAATATATTGTTATGGATATTTAAGTAAACAATGTCAATTTAAAAAATTGAAAAGAAAAGTGTTCCCAAACTTTTGACCTGTAGTATACAGAGAGTTAAAGATACTTACTACTTGGACAGAAAAAATAAATTTATATCAAATTATAGATTAATGGCTTTTTCAGATTTAATGGCCAAAAAGAAAGTAAGTGATTTAATACCTGAATTTTATAATATGTATCCTGATATGATCAATGTTGGTCCAACAAAAGCAAAAAGGGCTAGAAAAAATTAGGAACATAATTATTAAAATGTGTGTGATTATGTATGTGGAACATTATATTGTACGATAAAAATATTTTTAATAATAAATGGAAATTGCATTTTGTTTCCTAAAAGTCACTTGTATTTTAAAGACTTTAACAAAAATAGGTAGTATCTTACTACATAAAAGATAGAAATACTGTTTGTTTTAAAATACTATATTTTATTTCACAAAAATATGCACTTATACATGTATATACCTGTGAAATTGTATATGAAAATCTTGTTTTATAATATTTCAATTTTGTTATATAATTTTATTGCTGTCAGTCTTGAACTTAGATATAGGCATTAGAAACTGTATAACACCATAAAAAAGTTATATAATAAGAACTGTCAGTTTTATTTGACAATATATAACATTGTTATTCTTTTAATACATTTTATTAGAACAATGCTAGTATTATGAATATAGGAAGATAAACTTATTCTTAGCACCAAGATATTCTGACAATTTAAATGCATATGAATGTTTAACAATATCTCCATTTATACATGTATATCAAAATATAGTGTTTTACTATGTTGTATTTAAAATATATCTGTTACAGTTACAGTCATTTTGATTAGACCGTAAAAGGATAATGTAAATTTCTGTTTAACTCACACAAAATTGTTTAACTATGTTTTGAAAAATCTTATAGATTTTATGCAAAATATGTATTTCTAACGGTAAATGTTTAGGTATAAAATTCAAATTTTTGTACACTTTCAACAATCTCATATAAATATATATCATAAAATAATTTAAATAGAAAATTGCTTAAACCATACAATCTCGAATACTTATTGTTCTAACGAACTAATGCGCAATTACAAAGATGCAAAAGTGATATTATCGTTAGTCTCTCCTGTGTCATTCTTCCTCATTTCAAGCATGTTGGTTTAAAGTATGATACAGGTGCTTTTCTCACGAAAGGGATTAGACTTCTGCGATGAGAAGCCCACCAACAGGCAATCCTCCTGCTCATGCTCGGTGATGTACTTCATGATATCTTCGACGGCTTTGCTCACCGTGATCCGCTTCAAGGCTGCTTCGCGACGCAGCTGCTCCGTCACTTGGCGTTGCTGTTGCAAATTCGTCATCACCATGTCCATAACAGCTATATGCGTGAGAGATAAATCAGAAAGTGTCAAACTAGAATTCTCACAAAAAACGAGAAAACGGAAGAACATGTAAAAGGAGAAATATACCACGAATTTAAAGCTAACCTGAACCTCGTACGATGCTCGAATCCCGTTCTTACAGATCGCAAAGAACTCTCGACAACTCGAATCCGATTTCTTTTTTCACTGTGAAAAGTAATCCGTAGATTCACTTTATTCACGCTCTCGCGATCCGGCTTTAATCTCCTCACAGTTTATGATTTATCCTTCCTGTACAACTACCAATTGATGCCTATCCCTTAACGTATATTCACATGTGTAACAAATAAGGCCCGATCTCACCAACCCGATTAGCCTAATCGGCCGATTAAATGTCAACCGTGATTGGTCAATTTTGCTAAACAGCAAATGCGATTGGTTAGTTCCAATATAACAATCGATAACATATCGATTGATCAAGTTAATCGGAGTTGGTGAGCAGTTGCGGGATTCTCTAAACGTTTTTTCGATAATTGTTGTTATCGTTAACTAGCGACAACCAATGAGAGCCGCGCTTTTTTTAGAATTGTCCTGCCATTGGCTGTCGCTAGTTAACGATAGCAACAATCATCGATAAAACGTTTAGAGAATCCCGCAACAGGATCTAAAATTATTAAATCTTTGCTTTAATGTATCGCTTCCTTAAAAATGTCATAATTCGAAAAAATTAGTATTTAAAAAATCATCAAAATCGTTACAGTTTACAGTTAAAGAGGGCTTATGTTTGTAAGATATAAATATTAATTTCAACTTATCAAGAATTAATAATTGAGAGTTGTAATCCAACTTTGAATTAATTTTTAAATGATTGAAATAAGCGTAATAGTGATTTCGTAATGATGTGAATTGTATAAGGATCATATTAACTTTATTTCACGCATAGTGTATTCATTTTGAGCGTTATTATTAAGATATTTTTTTATGAAGACAAATACATAACAAAATAGAAAAATAGAACAATCCTCGAGAAAGTCGAACTTCCTCTTTTTTATAAACAGCCAATCACGAAACGTACCATTTTTGATCGGTTAATTTATAAAGTTCTTTTTTCCGATTGGTCCATCAAACGATTCGAAACATTTTGTAGCGAAACTTTGACCACTGCGGCCTTAAACGCAGTATATTTTATCTCTTTCCAATTCTAGAATCGGAGTAAGTAGAATCTCGGTTAAGGATTAACCGTGAGTGGTGGAATTGGGCCTAATGCCCGTTTCCATCAATGTAAATTAACTTTAATCTCGGTTTAACTTACTGTTCATCTCTTTTTTTAATTTTTAAAATTAGAAAAAGACGAAGAGCAAATCGAACCGAGATTAAAGTTAATCTGTATTAGTGAAAATGGGCATTAGAGGAGAAGTCGGAGAAGTTCGCAGACTCGAATATGCGCTGTGCCCCGAGGGGCCCCAGGCCGCCCGTAAGCGCCCGTGATCCCCGGACGCGTCGCACGTCATTGCGCGAATTCGGCCAATCGGGATCGCTCGCCGCTCGCGATTGCGCAGCGAGCCGTGGCGCGCATCGCGCCCGCGCAGCACGGCGCTCGCGGCCGTGCGAAACTCCACATGAGCCTGTTGCCAGTTATTGATCCTGGCGCGATTAAACAACACCGCATTGCTGTCAAGTAACGAAAACACACTGCTTCGCCACGTCTCGGCCTGCGCTCGGTGTTCCCAGCGTACGGCGTAAAAGCGTCGGGAAAGGCCGTGTGGATCGACCGACGGTTATCGTTCCTCCCAGAGTGTCTTGACGATCACCATCGTATCCCCGGAGTAAACCGCTGGTGCGCGACGCGAGAGAAGCGGACGACGCACGATCGCGGCACCCCGTCTGTGGCGCGGCGCGACGCGGCGCGGTGCGGCGCGGCTCCACTGACACGTCTGCTGACACGTACTGTCAAAATGTAGAGAGGCTCGACATCGACAGCGACGGCAGGGTTTTCAACGTCGAGAAGTTGATCGCGTCCACGAAGGAGAGAAAACATGTCACTGGATTTCCGCGAATGAACCCGGATCAAAGAAAGAGAAAGAGAGAGAGGAGCCACGACGAGCCAGATCTTCAAATTCCTGGCCGTGATCTCGTAGACGGACGTCGGCGGTTGCACATGTGATCCTCTCTGAGTAGCCGACCCTATTTGGCAGACGCGATGAAGAAGTTCACGATCAAGGGTGTACTCGACGGGTTCCGGTCGTCGGTCCCGCAGCCCACCAAGCCTGACCAGGAGATCATCGAGAATCTCAAGCCGGAGCACTTTCAAGTTAAGAAGGTCAGTACGAGAAGGTTCATCCTGGCATCCCTCCATCTCTCCCAGCCCCACTTCATCCCCTTTCCCCGTTCGCCCTAATTAAAGTGGACCTGTCGATAACATGCCGTCCTATAGGTGTATTTTTCACAGACCTTCGCCAATGCCTGGAAAACTTTCAGAGAGATCCGACGACGTATGAATCTGCCGTAAATTTCCAACTATCGCGCGAAATGAGATCTACTGCGGGGTTTTTTCCTCCCCCGCGGTGTTTAACGATTGACTGAACGACGCAAGTCGCGCAATTAGAAATTTTATGGGGTCAGTCGTAACTCGTAATGTAAGGGAAAGTATATGCTACCGGCGGGCGAAGTAGATAGCGACTGTTTGTCAGAGAGAGACACAAATGACATGGTGCAACATAGAGTTATCATATCTGAATCACAAGAAGAGAGGGTACATACGTATGATAAGACGAGAAAAAGATAATAATCCGAGAACGGAAGAAGGGAGTATAATTTTATGCATTAAATATGAGTATTTAATAAAGTAAAATTTCTAAAACATATAATATTTTTTACTAATAATTTGTATTAATATAATTTTATAAATGTAAAGTTTTAATTAATCAAATTTTACAATCTTAAAGAGAGTACATGTCATTGTCGAACAAGAATGGCTGATGATCTTAAATATAGTGAATTATATAATTACATCCTGTTGTTTATCAATATTAAACAAGGATGAATTTACTGCATGGAAAAGATAGTTTTGCTCAAGTATCTAAAAATTTAGCTGGACACAAATCTAAAAATAATTCAATTAAACCAAAATAATTATGTAGAATACTCAAATTGGTTGCTAGAATGTACAAACTTTTTGCAGTATTGCTCATCATGCCTTAGATTTATGTATACATAATTATATTTTGATGATTCAACAAAATTATTTTCACACTGAAAAAACATCTGATTGAAAATAGACAACTATAGAAAATTTTGATTGTATCAATTCGAATTCCAATTATCTCAACTAGAATTTAGTAGTTTTAACCAGACAATTCTGATTTGTCCATTTTCAATCAGAATTCCCCAATTAATCCAACCAGACATTTTTCTCAGCGTAACTTAATATCTACCTAAATTTTTAAATACTTTAACAAAAGCATTCTTTCCATGCATGTCATTTCAAATGACTCATTTGTGTCTCTTGCTTGGAAAGTACCTGCGACATTAATTATAATGGAACACGTAAAACCCGTTCGTTACATTATATAATGGACAAGGAAGGAAAGGAGGAAGAAGCGAGATAATTAGATCCAAAGTGGATTCAACGATTGGAGGGATTCAGTCTCATTCGCGTTTTATTCGTCATTTATCTTAAGTGCACCGCTCGGAGGATCGTTCGGATAAAAGCCTGTTCTCCTTGAGACCATCATCTCGTCCCGGCTCTCGAGCTTTCTGCTCTTTGCTTTGTGTAAACAACCCCGGTGTGCCAGTAAATGCGCCGAGTCAATATCAAAAGCTTACGTAATCTGAACTCGTTGGCATTCATATCGCTGAATAAATTCATATCAATTGCATCGCGCTATCCGTTAACTCTATCGAGTACTCCATTTTTTTGCGAGTACACCCATGATCTAGTAATCTATTGATTCCTAGATCTAGTGAGGCAAGTTCACAAACGGTGCCTACTCATCGTCAGTAAACACCAGCGGATCGTGGCATAACATCAATGTTATCATTTCACACGCAATATAACCGATTCAAGTTCACAATGCTCGTGAGCATCATTTGCCCTTGTTTAACGTTTCATAAACAAGGCTGAAATGATTCTTAAGGGATGTAAGCGTGAATTGGACCGCGACCTAAATGTAATATAACACATGTTGTACATAACAGTTATATCCCATACAAAATAAAAGCAACATTACTGTAACATTTGCAATATTGCTGGAATGATTTGTGTTGGATGGAATTGTTAAACGTGAAATTGTAACATTGATGTTACGCGTGTGTTAGTTGGTGTCTACTGGGTATTTTGTTCTATTACAAAAATGATATATGTGAAAGTCACGTATCGGGTATTGTAAAACAAACACGTAATATGACTTTGACATACATAATTCTTGTAGGAGAACAAAGTAAGTACCTTTTGAACTTGCTTCACTAGATCTAGAAGAGATATCGAGTCCTCGTCTACAAGTGCATGTATTCTGTGAAGAAAGAGAAGGCTGAACACGGAAATAACGATTTTTTTGAAATATTTAAAAATTTAGCTCTGACAAAATTACTTTGGATCTATACGATAGATACGGATTTGAAAATATTTTCGTTGGTCCATAAAAATAATTATATAGGAAATTCGAGCGTAATGAAAAAAATTTCTATTTTGGAAGATTCTAACAGTCAGCTTGAGAGCGTCCCATATACATTTATTCTGATGAGTCAAACAAAATTGTTTTCAGATCTGTATCTAGTTTAAATTAGATACTTCAGTAAAACCATTTTTCCCTGAAGAAAATAAATGTATATCTCAATTTTGTAATTTCCCGTTCTGGGTAGAACACAGAGTCATAAAGTGAAATTATAAGTGACAAATAGGTCATGATGACGTTCTGCGATATCATTATAACTTCTGTATTCTACCTGGAGTCCTTGGTTCTTTAGAAGAGGGATCCCTCTAAGCGAGAGTCCGATTCGTGCCACATGCTCGCGTCCGTGTCCAGTTTCTACGTTAAATAATTCTGAAATAGTGCCTCGGGATTAAATACACTCGCGAGACACGCGAACGCGAGCTGAGCAAGGCGGATTCGTGAAGCTCGTCGAGGTCTAGCTCAGTTTGTCTAACTTCGGGAGTATATAAACCCGAGGAGCGTAAACATCCCGGCGGCTGTCGATACTTGTTTCACGTCGCACGAGGTATCTCCAGCTTGTCTGGGTTTGTCTGGCTTTCGTGCACCGAAACTGTCCTCGTCTATTTACTTACTCCGGCGAGTAACTGTCGGTGAAGCTGATATCGACTATCGCGCTTCGCGGTATACCGTTCGTGCGAATATCCGTTACGCGGTCGAGGAACAGATAACAGGCTGATATACGAATGCGGCAAATAAGCGAGAAAAAACACAAGCGAACGATTAAAGGAGATGAGTTTTTCCTATTGGAAAACAAGTCTGATTAATTGGAATCCTGTATCTAGAATTTTCTGGTTGAATCTATACTATTCTAGTTTTGAGATAACGAGATTGATATGATCAGAATCTTCTCTGGTTCGTCCATTTTTAAGTGGATATTTATCTTATTGTCAGTGTACGTTTGTGCGTCGCTATCTTTAGATCCGTTTATTATTTTTGTATTTAGATTGCACTAGAACTGTCTTTCTTGCTTTCGTCGAATATCAAGCATATAATTTCAAGTTCCAAAACTGTATGCCAGTCCAGCTATAGAAAACAGACCTTTTCTTACACGCCTTTCAACCCCGATCGATCTCCCGATTCCGTTTCTCGGCCTTCGCGATCTCACCGAGCATTGCAATTTTAATTCGATCGCTCGTGGGACGCGCGTCGTGTCGCCTCGGCGATGATCAATTCAGACCGACACCTTTCACGCGTTTACCTTTCGCGCATTTGTCCTCACGAAGCACATCGAAAATCGCCAAGTAGATCGCCGTTATAAACGAGGTCACGATTGCGATTTTCACGGCGAGTCGAACTTGAACGACGCAACGCGCGCTGCATTGCACATTTACTCGCGCTGAAATCATCGCTCGATCGCGCGTAGGCGATCATATATAGTCACCACTATTATTTTAATTTTCTCGCTCGAGGCGAGGATGATGACATTCGAGCTTCATGTACCTTTCTTGGCGTATTGAAAAAAAGCACTGCACTGCGAAAGATTTCTCGTTGAAAATGAACGAACTGGAAGATTCTAATCATATCAATCCAAATTCTGATCGTCTCAACTAGAATTAGAATATGTAGATTTAATCAGAACCTTCTAATTTGGAGCAACCAGACTATTTTCCGTGCGATAATAATAATCATATTTTATATTTTATTATTGCAACATTTTCTCCTTCGACATGATTCCATTATAATTTAATGTAATTACTTAACTAGCATTAAAACCCTGCAGCTTGGCTTACAATTAATTAAAGAGCCTTTAATAGTCGTTTTTTATTGTTTGAATAATAATTAAGTTCAGATGATAATTATGAGAGCTTTGGTGAAATCATTTCAATCAAGTATTCGGTTAATATAACGAAAATCAACTAAATGTTAACTTTATTTTTCTAAATATTATCTTACTTTTCTAATTATTATATCTAAACAGTCGGTTACTACTTTTTATTATATACTGTTAAATTATACCCAATTATTTTAATTATTTCTATAAGTCGTTACTGCTTCTAACATGTGTCGTTAATTTAACTAAATAAGTTATACAATATATGGGGTTAAACAATTTAACTTAAAAAAAATGTTTGAAATTTGACTCAAATTTAGTTTATTATTTACTAAAATACGCTAATATAGTTGTTTACTTTGATATCAATTAGATTGATTTAAATACATTTTGACATACACAAAGCTGAAAATAACAAAATGTTATTTAATATAAGAGATCGGATTACCACTGATCCTTCGATATTTAACAGAATGTTTGGTATTTACTAAATATTACGTCACATGCTAAATAAAATACATTTGGTAGCTGCCAGACTTTTTTTTCAATGCGCGCGCTGATTCGACATGCAATTTTCCATTCGATGTTCTCCACACGAGACGGAGATGCAGACTCAGGGCAGTCGATTATAAACGTGGCCTGTAGTGTTTTTGCTTCTGGAGGAATAAAACACGCAAATCTGCGCTTATCTCGCATTCGTTTTCTCATTTATGCATCGGCGAATAACGGCGTGCATTTGAAGTAGCCATGCATTATTCCGCGACATAAAATTGCCGCGTTCTTTCTCGGAAACGATGATACGCTTGCATGCGTTGCATAATTGCTAACAGTTTCATC